TGATGGCAGTAGTAGGGACAGAGACCATCCAGCCAGTTTTCTTACATGATGAAGTGGAACAATCACAGAAGTATAAATTCCTTTCTCCTTCAACTTTCCATATGGAGAAAGTGTTGCCATCCCTTGTTCCTCCAGGCAGGACAAAGACAGTCTTTGATGGTAAAATAACGTACTTTGTAACCAGGGTTCCCCAGCACTGTCCTTTGCCCACTCCTGTCTCCCTTCTCCTAAAAGAAAATCTAAGACACGTAAAATTTACTCAAATTTCTTCCTTTCTGGGATGTAAATAACAGGCAGAAGAGCCTGTGTGGTTAAAGTATGTGGTATGGACTTTTTTGATTATTGCATTTATTTCATTTTTAATGTTTTTTTAGAGACATAGTCTCACTTTGTCATTCAGGCTGGAGTGCAGTGGTGCCTCATAGTTCACTGCGACCTCAGACTCCTGGGCTCAAGTGATTCTCTTGTTTCAGTCTCCCCGAATATTGGGATTATAGGCATGAGCTACGGCACATGGACTGGTTACTGTATTTATTGACACAGTATTAAAGGAAGTTGGCCTTTTGTTTCAAGTTTACCACTAAGTCATTTATATATAACTTAATTATTATTCTATTTTTCAATTAAGGTGGTGCATTTGTGGCAAATGTGAGAGACAGGGAATAAGAATGAACAAGAAATATTTAGCACTTTGTATAATATTTTAGAATCTATAAGGCACTTTCTCCACACATAGCCTTGTTCAATTATTACTCTATCTCGGATATTATATTAATTTTACAGAGCAGCCTGCTGAGGCTCAGAATAGTTTAAAAATGTACCCATGGTCATAAAACGAGATCTGGCAAAGTCAGGACTTAAACCTTGATCCTTCAACCCCTACTGCAAGATTTTCTCCCCCCCATACAGTGACCAGTTATAGAGGGTTATGCACTATTTTAGCCACTTACAGTAGAGTGTGATGACTAAGAACACAAAGTATTGGAGTCAAGTGGCCCTGGGTTTAATCCTGTGCTGTCACTTATTAGCTGCATTCCATGAGAAAGTTGCTTAATATCTGAGTCTCAGTTTTCTCACATGTAAACTAGATATAAGGAATTATATCCACCTTTCAGTTACTTGAGAAGATTGATAGCATATGTATAGCCTTGAGCACCATGCCTGAACCATGAGAGCTCAATAAATAATAGTCATTGTGGACAAGTAGCGATGAGATGGTGGACTGGCTGTAATATTAGCATAATTCTCAGCCCTAGTTATGGTCAGAAAGTATTTTTTTCTTGCTATTAGACAGCTAGGTATAAGTCTTTCAGAAGGGGAGAATGGGAATAGTGATTACTAGGCTTTGAATGTTTAGTGAAAGGAAAGGGAAGAGGTATATAGAGTCAGTGACTTTGGGACAAGCTGAAAGTGAGAAAAATAGCATAGGAAGTGTCAAAAGAAACCATTGCCATCAAGGTGGCTGTCGTTGAAAAGCAGGTACATCTTGCAACACTGTATGCTACAAAGTAGAATTGGCTATAAACACAGGATACTTCAGTAGTCCCAGTCACCAACCCTAGTGCCTATGTTGTCACTGGTATATATGTCGACTTGTTTGAGATGAAATGATAATCACATATTGATTTTTTATAAAGCTAGACTTACTCAGTTTAAACAACTTCATCCTGATAAATCATTTGAGCTTTTTGTGGATGTTAAAATGTTCTTTTCTTTTGGAAAGTAGTAGCAATAAGTAGTTGATAGTTTTTTTTAGGGTCCTTATTAGACAAAATAAAAAGTTGGCAAATATATGTCCACTCCTCCCCATTTACTAATATTTATTATGAAATCCCAAAGTCTAGAAATCACTGAATGAATTAATCTTCACATTTTCTTACAGTCTGGGAATCTAGGCTCCTAGATATCAAAGAATTTATCTGTGAAGACCACATTCACAGAAACCAAGCAGAGCATTTCCAAGGAGACAGTTTATATTTTATACAGTGGCCCAATTCTTGTCCCCTAGGAAATGACAATCTAAGATAGAAGAGAGATGAAGAATGTTGCCACTTAGCACACAGGAGATAGGATAGAAATATCAATCTAATATACAGATTAATGAGCTTCTTACAGCATAAAATTTAGGGCTAGATGAGTGAAGAGAGTATATCTGTGTTTGGGGAGGCTGTTTGCAAAGAGTAGCTCTGGAGAGCTAAACCCAAACTAGACCAAAGGACCAAATGATCAGATCATCTCAGAGTCATCCAGGGTTATTTGGAACTCCTTAAATGTTGTTGAATTGATTTCTTTCCCCTGATGTCTTGAGACTGCAAATGACTATAAAATTCGATGGCCAGATTAGATAAATTGTTTCTTCAGGAATTAAGAAAACAAGCACTTTGTTTTGTTGGTTTGGATTTTAATACCACACACAGATTCTGATGAAAACATTTAATACTGCTAAAGCAACTGGGCCACTGAACTATTATAGAATTGTTGGGTCAGTAAGCAAAAATTGTGTAAACTCGTAACTAGGCAGATTCTCATTAGATGCAAACTCATTCTTAGTCATAGGAGTAGGTATTTTTGAAAGTGGGTAAGTGATTTATTTTATTCAAATTATCTTCCAGTGGTCCCAATTGATGTGGCTTCTAAATGTGCATTCACTTGCAAGCCAGGGGCTATTTAGGCCCTCGGAAAATCTGACTCATGGTTACAAATATATAATTTATTTTAATTGTGACTATAACAAATGAATTAATGGCTTTGCAAGATAAATATTTCCTAAAGGAGATGGCCAGGAAAATGTTAATAACTGGGAAAACAAGTTACTGAACAGAGACTGAAAACACAATTTACTGTGACAAATAGAAATATTTACTTTTCACATTCTTCTGGAGAGAAGCATGTGATTTCAGTGTGTTGAGCATGATTTGATTTACCGTTAATTTGTTTTCACATATTTACTGAGTGCTTAATAAGTGCCTAGGCTGGGGGATACAAAGACAAATATCTTTGCTCCCCAGTCTGTCCGTTTCTAAGAGGTGCTCAGTACACGTCTAAAAATTACGATAATTTCTACTAGAACTTATACCATACCCCCCCCCCCACACACACACATTTTAAAGGATCTAGGTGTGCTAGAAATGTCCAGGGACTAAAGGAAGCAGGCCTCAGGGCTGGAACCAACATCTAATAAGTATGAAACACCTCGATTTAAAAATCATTTTTAGATAATATAACTTGTATATTTTCTCTCCTCCATCTGCGTTTTATGCAGTCCTATTGCTTGAAGGTTTCCTTGGCACTTTCCCGTCTAAGGCAACATAATCACTCGGTTTCCAGGATGCTGAGGCTGGTAGAGGCTCTTCTGGAACCTCCGCTGAAGGTCATCGCCAGCCCTTTCCAGATTGGCTGATCCTACCTGGGCGGAGGGAAGGGGAGACAGGTTGCTATCAAGCGTCTGCTGGGCTCTGACTGTCCCTCGCGCAGCCATCCCGGGGAAACCCTTTCCCTGCATTTTATAATTTTGCTTGTTTGATGTCAAGGAGGCCCCGGGAGACTTCTGTAGCGCCACTGCACAAAGCAGTTCTCTTCTGCCAAGCAGAAGGCCCATCTGATTCCAGAAAGAAGCCGAGTGGGGCCCAGCAGTGTGACCGCAGCCAACCGCGCCAGGCCTCTTTCTGCGCTTCAGGATGGCCCTGGAGCACAGCGCGCGGGCTGTCGTGGGCGGGGGCTAGTCGGGCGGCTCTCCCGCGTCCTGGAGCTAAGCGCAGGCCGTTCTGGTTTTGACTGGGCCCCGACGGAAACCCCTGCGGAGTCTCTCTGGCACCAAAAGGTGCAGTCCCAGCAGGAGGGCCAGGTCTACGGGCTGACTCAGAGGGGCTGGAGGGGCGGCTCCGCGCGTGCAGTGGGACAGAGTGGCGACGCAGGGGCACACGTGGCCCCGAGCTGCCCAGGCTATCCAAGCACAGGCCACTCTGACTTGGCCAAAGCCAGCGGCTACTGAAGCCCCCAAGACCCTTACCCCTCTGCTGCGGGCAGAGCAGAGCCGCGGTGCGGACGGACGAGTCCTTCTGCCCCTCCAGCGGGAGAAGCCCTCCGACCCGGTCACTCTTCCCTCTGGCCGCTTTGCCCGGCCCAGGTCTGAGGATGCTCCCGTGCGGCTGTGGGGCGCGGCGCAGAGGTCCGGGCTCCCGCGCACGCCACCTCCCTCGGTCCTCCACGCTTTGGCAGGAATCGCCGCTGCGAGACCCCTCTGCTTCCACCTCGGAAGAAGGCCCCCGAGCGGCGACTTGCCCGGCGCTGTCGGGACCGACGAGCGCGCGGGGGTGCGGACGCTGAACCCCCGCGCCGGGGTCGGCGCTGGGCTTGGGGTCGACGTCGGAGCTTGAATCGCCCTTCCCAGCGTCTCGCAGGGAGGAAAGGAAAACCAAGCGGTCCAGCCCTGTATCTGAGACGTTTGTATCCCTCCCTCCGCTTTCCGACCCTAGAGGGTTAAGTCAGGAGGGTACAACGCCACCCCCTCCTCTTCCCGCCTCTCCCCTCCCCTTACCTTTAAAAAGTTAAAAAATGTCTGCAGTCGAAATCTCTTAAAGGGGCGGTGCTGGTGAGCGAGTGCTCTTGGCACGAGTGGCCGAGAAGGCTGGCTAGGGGCGTGAGTTCGCTCCACCAGCACCAAAACACTGAAAAAAAAAAGGAAAGAAAAAGAAAAAAGAAAAAGAAAAAAGAGAGAGCGAGAGAGTGG